GCTGGGCAATACTTCCTTCAGACTGGGCAGGCACAGTCACTGAAAATCGGTTCCTGCTTGTCTCTAAATTGCCATTTCTCTCTGCCTGTCTACTGTGTGGCTACACATTATGCTGCATAGAGTGCTCTTTCATATTTAAAATCAGTTTGTAATGATCTCTGCTTTATATAAATGAAGGATAAAGTGCTTGCAAAGTAAAGCCTATACTTGCTTCCCCAACATAGCACAAGCAATGAATACAGCAGTAAACGTTAAATAAATAACTAAATACCATGCCATGGCTTTTTAACTTTTTAACTAGCTGAAAGCCTTTTTGATATGGAATAACAGTTTGGGTAGCTAACATTAGCTTAATAGCAGTAAATAACACAACAGCGCAATTGTCAAACCGTGCTGGTGGCTGACATTAACTGAATAACTGCATAACAACATATAGTGCTGCTGTTGAACCTGGAATAACATGTTTCATGACCATAGTAGACCTGGCATATATTTCAAGTATTTCAGTTTACCCTCATCTGAAATGAGTGCTTTCGAAATTTACAGTGTGCTGCCCCAGAGCGCCCCTGCTGCTCTATTTGCTCAACCTTTCTGTGGTCTTTCTGTGCCTGTGACCAGAGTCTTGCCCTGGCCAGGTGAGCTGATTTTGTGCGGTGCTTGTTCTGCCTTCACATCTGTGGGAGGTTTTGGACTTGAGACTGTTTCAGAATTGCCCCGCATGCTGTTTCCTCTTTAAGAAGAAAAGCAAGTGATCACATATGTAATTTCACTCACATCCTCATGCAAATTGAACAATCTAAATCTTGCACTGCACACAAACCATGTTGTTTTGCCAACTTTTGTTTTTTCTGTGCAGGTTGACTGAACAGTTAAAAATCTTTCTTTAGCAACAAAGAAAATACCAAGAGTTGGGAGCAACTTTACAGACTAAAAGCACAACATTTACTGGAGACGGGGATTTCAGGGGTGCAGTTCCCTTCAGTAGGCGCAGCTGAAAAGTATGCACATACTGAGGGAGTTCACTGATCGTGAGTTGTCGTGTCATGTGAACAGAGGCTATTTCTGGCAGGGTGGTGTTTTTATGGGCAACAAGCAACCCTGCCAATTCTGGCTTCCTCTGAGTGTTGTGTCACCCCCACTGGGGTGGAGTGTCATCCAGGCTGGGGCAGCTGCGAGTGAAGGACGCTGTGAATGAGCCTCTTAGCTGGAGCAGCAAGACTCTTGCCAAGCTCGCCCTGGCCACTGCCACTACCAGCAAGCACACGGGCCCGAGCAGCAGTCTGGGTCATTGTGACCAGTTGGCTGTTCCCTGCCACAACTGAGCTCTTTTTGCTCACTGCAGCTTCTCTCCACCCTAAGCTTTTTCTCTCGCACCCTGCTTTATCCCTGGAAATCATGAATTCTGATTTGACAGCCCGTTTTCATGATCTCTGTTTTGACAGCTAACAACGGCTCCTTCAAAGTGGACAAGTGGCACATGGGAGGAGCTGTTGGTCGTTGGCAAATCTTTAATCTTTTTGCGCAAATCTGTGCAATTATTGTTTTCCCTTGGAAAATAATAGCTGCACTTGCACTTCTGCAGAGGTGTGCAGTTCTGTAAGTGCAAAAACCGGTAGCCTCAGCAGGGCAGTGTGCTGTGGGTGTCAAAGTGCAGCAGGTACCAGCTTTAAACATTGGCCCGGAAAGGTGCCAAATAAGATGGCTGGTTTTTGTTTCGTTTCGTTTTGCTTTCTCTTGACTGCTATCAAAAGGCAGGCTGTCAAGTCATGAATGATCTTTGCTCATGAAAGGCAGCAGCCAACAGATCACCCCCTTTGCATTGAGATCCTCTCCTTTTCCTTCAGGCTTCTGTACGATTTTTCCTTTTCTCCAAGATCTAGTTGCTCAGGAAAGTGCAACGGCACATCCCACCCCTCTTTTTTAGGAAAGGAGTTTTGACAGATGTCATTCTCCCTTTGAAAATGCAGGTTTGACAGGGCAGTGGGTGTTTTTTGACAGGGGCATATGGCTGTATGTGTCCCTGTCCAAATATGCCCATTAATCCAACCAACTCAGTTCATGCACAGAAATTAGGCTCTTTCGATGTGGACTGCACATGCTCCTGAGCTTGCAATCCATTTCAAACTTAATAGCAAAATTTTAATACACCAATTCAGCTTCTCTCAAAAAGTGAGCATGGCAAAAGGGTGTGTTTTGCCCATCCAGCTTGCTACAGATAACACTGGGTGGCCTTGCTAGTCTGCATCCTCCAATGCCCAGCAGAGTTTTCCTAGAATAGCTAGATAGGATGGAGGTAGTTTTCGGCAGCTGCCAGAGGGCCAGCCCTACCATTAGGCAGCCTGAAGAGCGCTCCCAGGCAGCAGCAAGGCAACCGAGGAGAGACCTGTGTGCTCTCAGCCTGATCTGTGAGCTCTCTGCCTCCGAATGCTGTGGAGCATGGTGTCCTGCAACATAGCTTGGAGCACTCCTCTGTTACCCCCCCCCTCCAGCTCACCCCTCCCCTCCTTTCCCACTCTTCATGCTGCAGTTTGGCTTGTTTAAACAAAACACCGGTTGATGCCACTGGAAGATTTGCCATGGGGGGTCGGTGGCTGCAGAAGGAATGATTAGCCCTCCCCATACCCTTAAGCCAGCCCCAAATCCTCCCAGATGCCAGTCAAGGTTGAAACAGTCTCCCACTGACCCCAGTGGGAGGCTCCTTTTCAAGTTTACATAAATTCCTTGGGAACACAGGCCGGAGGGGGATTTTCACGGAGATGGTATCTGAAGACCAGCTGCAGACTCCCAGAAGGCAGCCTCCCTCTCACACAGTGGTTCAGTTTGGAAACATCCTCCCAGGGCCTCCGTGGAAACTTGCCTGGCTTTCAGAACCCACTTTTGGAGCCCTGGGCTAGATTTTTACTGTTTTTCTAGACATTTTAAAGATCTAAGTGTGTATGCATTTTAGGGTTTTTGCTAATTTAAGGTGAGTTATTAGGTGAGATTTTAGCTCCTCTACCTGACAGTAGCTCTAGCATTATGCTACTCTAGTATATGCTTATTTGGTTGTTATGCTGTGCTTGCTTTTAACAAACATAAGGTGCATTCCTGTACATGTTTACACAGAAAAAAGTCCTACAGCTCCCATGATGACTGCAGAATGATGGGAAATATGAGACTTCTCTAAACATGCACTGGATTGTTCCCTTAGTATGCCATTCTAGACATACTTACCTGGAAATGCATCCCTTTCCCCTCAGTGGGGCTTCCTTCCAAGCAGACCTGTACAGAATTGCATTTTTATGGAAGTCCCATTGAACTCAGTGGGGATTATGCCTGGGTTAATATGCCTAGAATTGCACTGTTGCTCTATCAGGTTTTAAAACTTGAAATGCGTATGGAATCTGTTGACAATCATTTAATCAATATTACGAAGAAGTGCCACGTGTGCTTTATGTGCACCCGCTGTGCACAGATGCCTGCGTGTGGATGTGCATGTTCACGGGAGTGGTGGGAGCCCCCCTCCCTTTGCTTGAGCTCAGCCTAAGTGGTAAGGGGTGCTCCACAGAACAGCATGAGGGACTTCAGCCCTTTGGGGGAAAAGGCGTCCCCACCCGTCACGTCGTGTTTTGGGGAGAAGGCCATGCACACGCTGCCATCGTGTTGCCGTTGCCCCCCCTTGCCAGTTCTTTTTCCCTAGCACACCACGCCATGCCAGACCTGTTACATACAGGTCCCAGACTACCAATCCCATTACTGCCAGCCAGCAAGGCTAGTGGTTGAGGATGCTGGTGGCTGTGGTCAAACCATCTTGAGAAGACCAGGTTGGGAATGGCAGCCCTATATGTATGGGGTTGTTTTGACAGATCTGTGCCTGCGAGTTCTGAGTATGTCATTTCCCTGCTCCTGAGGGAAGTTCACTTTTTTAATAAGGCACAAGTATGATGATCAGAGATAAGAAAATGCACCTTGCTAAGCAAACTCAGGGTTAGGCCAAGATGTTTGGGCCTGACAATGGAAACAGATGCAACGTTAAGCCCACTTTGTCAATCCCACGCTTGCAACCGGCTGCATGTAACCCTTTACAAAGAGCAGCCAATACATGTGAGCACTAAACTAGAGGCTCGTTTTCCCCAATGCCATTTTCCCACTGAAAGTTCTCCCCAAGCTAAATGCCCCAGTTTTATGGTTGTTCGTTTGTTCCTTTGTTTTAGGAATCTCTCTGGTCCCCACTCAGCTATGAAGCCCACTGGGTGACTTTGGGGCAGTCACAGCCTCTCAGCCTAACCTACCTCACAGGATGGTTGTTGCAAAGATAAAATGGAGGGGAGGAGAATCATGTAAGCCACCTTGGGTTTCTTGCAAGAGGAAGGCAGGTAAGATAGAAATAAAGGTAAAGGTTTTCCCTTGACATTAAAGTCCAGTCATGTCTGACTCTAGGGGGTGGTGCTCATCTCCATTTCCTAGCAGAGGGAGTCAGCATTTGTCCGTAAGTCTCCATGGTCATGTGGCTAGCATGACTAAACACCGAAATGCACGGAATGCTGTTACCTTCCCACCAAAGTGGTACCTTTTTATCTACTTGCATCTGCATGCTTTCGAACTGCAAGGTTGGCAGGAGCTGGGACAGAGTATGGGAGCTCACCCCGTTGTGCAGATTTGAACCGGCAACCTTTTGATCAACCAGCCCAGCAGCACAGCAGTTTAAACCACTGCACCACCTGCACCCCTTAAGATAAAAAAGCAATGTAGTAAAATAACAACATTTACAATCTAAATAAGGGTGCAATCCAATGCATGTTTGGACAGGAAAGGTCTACATCTCCCAGTATGCCCCAGCCAACATGGCTGTCTGGAGTATGCCGAGAATTGTACCTTTTCTGTCAAAAATGCGTAAAAATGATTGATAAGGACCAATATGCATAAGTGAGGCTGTGAGTTGAGAACACCAATTTTATTCCATAGGGCTGTTTGGGTTCCAGAATGCTGTTGTAGCAGGGAAGAAAAAAAACTGATAGTCTTTTCTTTTAACCACATGGTAACCTTTGTTTATTACAAGATGGCATTCACTGCAAGAGGGAATCTGAACAGAGGACGTACGGCTATGCACACGTTTATTTAAGTCAATGAACGTATTTGGTTAAAAGGTAGGCAATTCACCAACTAGCAGCTCTTCAACGGATAGCTCTAACATTTTCAATGCCAAGATTCCACATAATCAAACACTCATAGAGAGGAGAGTACTTAGAAGCATATGTGGCCTGCCTTCCCTCCAAGACAGCACACTCATAGCAAGTTTCCAGACCTCAAGGACAGCCAGCAAAGTTGAGTTCTGGACAGATCTGAGGCCCAGAAATGAAGCACTGAGGAGGGCGGCATGGCCATGAGGGGACAGTGCAGGGGTGAGAAAGGCAGTGGTGCCTGGCGCCCAACTCTGTGTCTTGTCTCTGTTCCCATACGCCAGCTTGTTTCCATGATTTTGCCCACCATGACAGTGGCTTGGCAAATGGGGAAAGGACTGTCTAAATACCCTCGGACAAGCATCGGCGTGCTCCATCTAGTCAACTTCAACAGTCCAACCTAGTAAAACAGCACAGGAATGCAGTGGGGAGAGCTGGGTCAGGGAGCTGGGACACCCCTGTTGTGACTGAGGACAGAAACTGTGCTCCAGGTACTGGAAGAGGGCAGCCCGAACCTGTTCATCCAGTCGGCGAGGAAAGAACTTAGCCAAGTGGGTTGGGCTCGACTGTGCTAGGTTAGAACAGGGAAAGCAGTCGCCCAATTCTGTTCTGGGGATCCTCAGAAGATTATTGGAGGAGGCCTCAGTGGACAGAGGAGCTGTGGCAGACAACAGTCCCTTCAGGAAAAGTTGCCCACCACCCGTCCACCCCTACAGTGTTATTCTTAGCCACATTTGCCACACAACAGAATTAATTAAGGGTTCATGAAAGAGGTAGCCGCTCAGAATCTTCTGAACATTTGCAAGGTTTTTGCAGGGCAGAAGTTCATGTCAAAAAGCTCCTCTCAATACACAAAGTTTGAAAGCTACTAGGACAGGGTAATTACACCAAGGGTTACATGTTCTAGAGGAGGGGTTTGTATTAATCCTAAAAGAAGCAAACTAACCCCACAGGGCCAGATTTTGTATATGATATGGGGCTCTGATAGTTGAAAGGGAAAGAAACCCCTATGATACCAACCCTCTGCATTGCCTCCCACCCCACCCTACCCCCCTGCATTTCAGTTCATCTTGATCAGGATCTGCTCAGAGAAGAGCTTCTTCAGCTGGGCCACTTCAGCTGAAAGTGAGGCTAGCTGACTCCGCAAAGTACTGTTTTCAGTCTGGTACTCGGCCCCAGGCAGCTGGGCACCGGTGGAGGCATCTGCTTCACAGCAGCTCTCAAAAGCCATGGCCCCTGCAGGCAGTCCCACATGCCGTGGCTCCTCTCTCACGGCTGGCCCCCTCCAGCTTCCCACCGGTGGCGATGGGGGGTAATGTCCAGGTGGCTCCCCAGCCATCTCCTCTGCCCCCACAGCCATTTTGAAGCGCAATTTGTGAGGGAGGCCTTTGACGCTCTCTCCAGAGTCGTAGGGGCCAACTCGGCCCAGCTCGGCTCCTTCACTAGGGGCATCGGTAGGGAGGCAGTGCCCATCATAGATGATTCCTTCCTCCGGCCTGTCACGCTCCTCAAAGAAGACAGGGCTGCCCATGTTGGAGCTGCCCGGGGTGGAGAACCCAGAATCCTCAGAGCTGGCAGGTGGCTCTGGGTGGAAGGAGCAAGTGTAGCGTGCTGGCTCAGGAGCCGCCGGACAGGGCGGAGCTGCAGCGGTGGGCCGATGGAGCTCGGTGGCAAGAGGCACCCCAGGCCGGGAAGGATCAGCCGGATCCCGAATCAAGCCAAAGCGGAATTTGAGGGCCAAGAGCTCTGCCTTGAGGCGGGCATTCTCCTCAAGCAGGGCCAGCACTCGCCCCTCCAGGGCCATGTCACTGACACGCCGCTTCTCCCGGGAGCGCTTCGCTGCCTCATTGTTTTTCTTCCGCTTATCCCAGTAGCCTTCATCTTTCTTCTCATCTGGGGTGAATTCCCGCTTACGGCGGGCCATGGTCGAGGCACCCCCCTGCTCCCTTTGGCGTGCCCCCATGTTGCCGGCTGTCCTGAGTAGGGAGTGGCTGAAGAGGCCGTTGGCTGAGAGCAGGGAGACCGTCTCCTCGGCGAAGCACGACACGGCGGTGCGCAGTTCACACACGTGGGCTGGTGTGGGCGGCTGTGGCAGCTGTGACAGAGGCTGGGCAGGAGGGTCCTCCAAGGGTAAGTCCATCTCCCCGAAGACTGTGAGGCAGAACGAATGGAGAGCATGTTGGTGTTGGCCAAGAAAGGCTGGTCCCCCTCCCCACCCAGCCCTTGTGCTCACCAGGAAAATAGCGGGGAAGGACAATGAGACAGAGGTGCCTGTGCCTAACGCGCCATCTAGTGGCTAAGTAGTTAAGAGAGGTTTCTGTTCATCCTGAGGCAGGAACACAGTCAGGAACACTGAGCATTTTCAGATCTAAATCCCACTAGCTACAATTACACAACTGCACAGTACTACATTCCTGGTTCCATACAGTTCCTTCCAGGCCCTCTGTGGGAGTTTCCCTGAACTCAGAAAGACAGCAAGAAATAGCCAAAAGGTGTTTTGTTCAAATATGCAGACACATCTGGAACACAAAGTCAAAGAGGATGAAGATCTCCATGTTTATTAACCATTCCTAAATGATTGGTAGTTTTTAGCTACCAGGTCCATACTCCTTTATTAGCACAACAATCAAGTAATGAGGCAGGCCTGCTTTTTATGACACATTTTATAGATGGGACACTGAGATCCAAGAGAGACACTTGAGAAGCAGAGATTCAAAGCCAGCTCTCCTACACAGGGAAAAAAAAATCTGACAATACATTACTAGTATCACTTTCTGGCTAAGAACTGAGCCCTGAATCAATAAGTCTCCCATATGAATCTGGCTTTGGTCATGAACATTATGGGGATAACACTACTAGTCTACCTTACAGAATCATTCTACAACTCTCAATATATGTAAAGTGCTCTGAGCATGTCAAAGCACTATACAAATGTTAAGTATCATTACCACGATTAATGTTAAGCATGATCAAAAATAAGGAGGTTTCACTGGCAACTAAAGCCAAGATCATCCACTCTTATATTTTGAATTACCATGTATGGGTGTGAAAGCTGGACAGAAGAATGCTGACAGAAAGAACATGGATGCATTTGAAACATGGTGTTGGAGGAGAGCTTTGCAAATACCCTGGCAGAAAAATGAACAAGTGGGCCATTGATCAAATCAAGCCAGAACCTTCCCTGGAATCAAAAATGACAAAAATGAAGCTGTCCTTTTCTGGGCACATCATGAGAAGACGAGACTCATTGGAAAAGACAATCATGCTAAGGAAAGTCAAATCAGAAAAAGAAGAGGGAGGCCAAAAATGAGCTTGGATCAGTTCCATAAAGGAAGCTACAGTCTTGAGTTTACAAGAACTGAGCAAGACAGTTGTCAAAAACAGGACGGTGTAGAGTGCCTTTGTTCATAGGGTCACCATTCGTAAGTCAGAGATGACAATAACATTATCAGCACCAAAAGGGGAGCTTCCAAAGTACAGAGGAAGAAGTTGAGGTTAATCCTCAAACTCATGACTTGAGGCAAGACACAGTTCTTCGTTATTTATATAGTATCTAAAAATGTGTGCTTGGCTTCGGAATAAATTCTTCCAGAAGACACGCTGGAAGACACACAGATAAGTTTAAGTGTGGACTAGTTTTCCCAAGTTTCATTGTCCCACCCACACCCTGTTCTTTTTACTTTACACTGTGGTCTCCTGATTGGTTGGGTTGCTGTCATTTCCCTCTTGCATTCCTCTGGGACAGATAGACATGAAGAATTTCCTCCCTTCAGTGTGCCAAGAAAAAATATGTCTAGTTATAGGCTTCTACTGTTCAAAATCCTGCCTTTCTTGCAGCTCAGGAGCCCTTCCCGAGGAAAAGTTGAATTAATGCCTAGCAGTTTGAATCCAAACAACATTTTGAGATGGGATGAAAAGGATTCATTAAAGAGTCTCATGACACCTTAAAGACAACAAATTTATTATGGCATGCGCTTTCTTGGGGCAGGATCTTTATGAAGTGTGTGTGTTTGTGTGTACATACACAGGTAGAGAGTGTGGGATTTAAACAGTGTGTTCAAGTGATCATACAAAGTACAGCCTAAAACAATTCAATTAAAGCTTAATAATATGCAAAATAAACACATTGACTATACACAAGAACAACATAGCTAAGTCCGTCAACACCTACAGCGGACCAGAAAACAATTACACAAATCAGGGCCTGGACTGATAATTCGTCTTTTTTTGATAAGTTCTGATCAAGTCAATTCACCCAGGAACCTCCCTTTGACATTCTATTGAAGGAAAATGCCAAGTTTCAGGTGAGTGGCAGAGAGTCCTAGTAATCTGAATTGTCACTATTTCTGATTTGTATCCATTAACATTTTTGCATGGAGATCTCTTTGTAAAAGCAAGAAGATGGTGGTGGTGAGTGGATGGCACATGTCACCTTGGGGTTCTGGCTGAGGTCCTCCAGGAATTTCCCTGAATAGATATGGGGACAGAATTGGCATTGGTGTTGGTTGCAAGCTCTGGCCCTTTTTTCTGTGCCTGTTCTGTGGCCTTTTGTTGTTGGCGAGTATTTTTGATTAGCAAGCTTTCCATAAGCAAAAATAGGTCAACCACCTAAGGGTTGCAAAAGGAAAGTATGGAACAACATTGGCTGGGAACTGTAGGTGAGGAGTGTGCCTTGGAGTGGACTATTCCTGGGCACTTGTCTAGTCTTGTGAATCTGACAAAGCCTTGCCACTAAAGTGACTGAAATTATCTAACCGTTCATCTGTGTAGCTGGATACAAGTGAATCTGGAGGCTTTTAAAAGTCTAAAGTTGCAATGCTTCATATACTTACCTAGGTGTAAGCTCAACTTAACTCAGTGGAGCCTTCTGAATAGACATGGTACAGATTGCATAGCCTTTTAAAAATCCTGGTGTTTTTTTTTTTCATGGTTATCATCTCCCCTCCAAGGTCACCCATTAGACTTCATATCCAAGGGGGAATTTGATCTCGTATACTTACCCAGCTGCTACACACCACATTTAGTTCTTCCAAAGCACACTAGGGAAAAACGTGGCAAAGCGGGGAGCAGCCCCACTACAGATTCCACTGGTCTTTGGTTGAGATTATTGCAGATCAGAAACCAAGGTCATGGCCTGTCCCTGCCCCACTCCACCCCTCTGGCTGAAGCTTTAATCCCCTTCTGGTTTCAGCAGCGAGCCAGTGAACTCAAAGCCCTTCTGGCCTTATTCTAGCCACTGCTATAACTGGGTCGCAGCACCATAACAGTTCCCTCCTGCCCTCAGACCTCCTGCCACCCTGTTTGTTGGGAACATTCCAGTCCAAGAACAGAACTCGGTGTGCTTGTCCCACAAAAGGAGGCAGGCTGGGAGAAAACAGCATTCGCGTAACTAAAAATCCAGGAAAACTGCCGTGTCCCACTGCCACCCACACACAGGATGACTACTACTGCTACTACTGTGAGAAATGTACACAGCTGGGAAAAGTTTAGCTATTTCTATTTCAAGCATATTTTGGGTCATTCTAGATGACCATCTCCAACTTTTTAGGCTTTTGCTTTGACAGCTGACGGTTGTTTCATTTACTGCCTGTTCACCCCTGCCAGCCATGCCAGGTCATTGAAATGCAGGTCATGCATATCGACCTGTCAGAATGGGTCCGAGATCAGCATTTTGCCAGGGTACAAATGAGTTTGGCATGAAGGAGAAAGAGGATGAGGAGGAGATGGAGGGTGGCGTGGGGGGGGGCAAAGGTTTTGCTTTTCCAGCTAGCTATGCTGTAGCCCTTAGGGGACTGTGCTATTTCAAGACAGGCATTTAACATGCTAAACAAACAGATTACAAAACCCCTATGAAACCTGTTCTTCAAAAAGCTGCCTTGCCCTGAAACCTCCTATCACTAGGGGGAAATGGGAAGCATGAAATGCTTTTGTTGGACTAGCCTGAGTTCCAAGAAAAGGTATCTCTGAGCTACATCAAGTTCTGTACAAGGTCAGGCAGATAATTTTGGAGTAAACACAAAAATATTGCCACCCCACCCTATCTCAGCAGAGCAACCACACCACTGTTGGGTTCCTACAGAGGCTTGTTGTGTGTATCTAATCTCACACAGGTACGTACAGGACAAAGACATGCAAAGGCTTATGTGCAGCACCAAGGAGCACCAGGTCAATTAGAATATTTTGCTACACAAGGGTCGTGCCTCCAAGTCTCTAACAAGGATGCAGAGGAACGTCCATTGCAGTGCACAATCAGTAGCTCTTTAGGGCCTCCTCAAAATATTGCTCAGAATGTGCAGCTATTATATATATCACACAGATTACACAGAGCGAGATTACTGCCTCCAACACCCAAGCAGTCTTAATTATTGCATAGAGTTTCCGATATAGCCACAAGCAGGTCCCAGAGTTGCTGGACCAGCCTTTCTCACCCTGGGGCCTGCCAGATGTGTTAGCTACAATACCCAGCATCCCCAGCCAGCATGGGAGTCTTCTAACAAATCTGGCAGCCACCAGATTGCAGGCCGCTATGCTAGATCAACACTTCCCCCAATCAGACTTGTGTGCTCTGGTGCGTGAAAGGAGTGTGCATCATGCTCTGGGCCAGCAGCCTGACTATCCCTCCTATCCAAGGACCACCAGGAAAGTCTTCAGATGCATAAACGTGAGCAAAGCTGGACTCAAGTCTTCCTGGATGCCTTCACATCTTCCGATCTGGCGAGCCCTTTCCTTCCAGGCTGGGAGTGAACTGCGCCTGGCCATTTAGGGGGCTTAGGGAGGTGTCACTCTGCGCATGTTCTGAGGCACCGTTCATACCCAAAACTGACTCCGGGAGCAGGCAGGGTGTTCCAAGCCCTGCGTGCAGGCACTGCTTTCGAAAACCAGCCGAAGGACTGGATAAGGAACGCGGGGGGCGCCTCTCACGCAAGGCCCGCGCCCCGCAGCTCTTCCTTGTCCCTCGGCGTAGAGCCCCCATCCCACTCCGGTGCGTCCCACCGCAATCTCACCTCGCCGTCAAAGGGAGCGGGGAATGGGTAGGCACGGTCGAAGAAGGGGCGTCCGCCGGGCCTTCTCCCCGGTTCTCGCCCGCCCTGTTCCCCGGCTGCTCCTAGTCTGTCTCCCGTTCCGCGATTGCTAGCAGCGGCGGCGGCGGCGGCGGCAGCTCCGGTCCGCGATAGGCACCTCCCCTCCGGCGCGTCAGAACCGCCCTCGCCCGAACCCGGTTCAGCCGAGGACAGCGCCTTACCCGAGTTAACCCCGACCGGCCGAGCAAAGCCGGCTGAGGCGAGACGCGCAGAGGGGCGAGGACGGACGTCAAGGCCCCTCCAGCCGGGTTGTTGATTCTCCTCGCTGAATTGTAGAGCGTCATCAGCGTGCCCCCGCGCTGCATAGGTGAAACAAAGGGTCTCTGCCCTCGGGGAGGTTGCCATCTGAAATTCAACACGCCGTGGGGTGGAAGGGAGCTACAGTGGTAGGGTATTTTTCTGACCAGGATTGTGCTTTTGGTGAGTTCTTGGAGGAGGCAAGATTTGATTTAACTTAAAAAGTTGGGAACTCTGCGGACCGTGCAGATAGGCACCTGTTACTGCTGGAACAGTTGGCTGCTTGAGGAACTCTCCTGCTGTCTCTTCGCTCTGGGCCCAGGTGGAACCATTGGCCAAGACAGCCAGAATGCTGAGATCCTGCAGCGCAGTCCAATCTTGGTGCTTGTTCCCTGAGCATACAAACCCATTGCCAAATGACTGTGTGCTTGGAAGGATTCGTTTCTGCAAACCAGCCACCAACTGTGTGGCCCTACGCTGCACAGACTCTAACCTGGCTATATTCTTCCTGTAATGAGGGGCCCAAAACTGAACACAATACTCCAGTTGCAGGCGCACCAGAGCTGTATAGAGTGGTAGTAATACCTCTCTTGATCTAGAAGCCACGCTTCTGGCTAAGCAACCAATGATGGCATTCGCCTTCTTGACCACCACATTACACTGCTGACTCATGTTTAGCCTGCAGTCAACCAGCACCCCGAGGTCCCTTTCACAAGTGCTGCTCTCCAACCACTTGTCCCCTAACCTGTACTTATGACATCCATTCCTATTCCCCAAGTGCAAGACCCTGCACTTATCCACATTGGATGCCATCCTGTTGTCTCCTGCCGACTTCCATAGTCTGTCCAGATCCTTTTGGATCTGGAGTACCTGCTCCTCAGTTGTGGCCACTGCCCCCATTTTAGTATCGTCTACGAATTTGATCAGCAGACTGTTCACCCCTTCTTCCATGTAGCTGATGAAAAGATTAAATAGGATCAGCCCCAGGACAGAGCCCTGGGGGACCCCACTTGTCCCTGGCCGCCATCCTGATGATTCCCCACTTATGGTTACCCTCTGCTTTTGGTCAGTCAACTATGCCCTAATCCATCGGACAGTGCATTGGTCTGTCTCAAAACTCCTCAGTTTCTCAGCCAGGATATCATGGGGCACTTTGTCAAAGGCCTTGCTGAAATCCAGGTATACCACATCCACTGCATCCCCTCCATCTAGCCATTGTGAAACCTTGTCATAGAATTCCTCAAGGTTTGTCTGGCAGGACCTGTTATTGCGGAAGCTGTGTTGTGTGGCTGCCAGCCTCCCTTCCCTATCTAGCATCACTAGATCTCTCTCTATTATGAGCCTTTCCATTGTTTTTCCTACAATGGATGTAAAGCTAACAGGTCTGTAATTCCCCATGTCCCTTCTACTACCCTTTTAGATAATTGGGACCACTGGCGCCACGCTCCAGTCCTCTGGAACTTCATCGTTCTCCATGAGGCCTCAAAAATGGAGACCAGCAGGCGTGAGAGAACCCCTGCCAACTCTCGAAGTACTCTCGGGTGTAACCCATCAGGGCCCAGTGCCTTTGTAAGGTCCAGTGCCCTGAGGAGCTCCTCAACTTCTGGGTGGGAGGGTGACTCTAATCTGTTCCCTTAAGTCCCCATCCTCATCTAATCTCCCATGCAGATCTCCCCCATTCTGCTTTGGGGAGAACACAAAGGCAAAATAGTCATTTAGCATCTGTCCCCTTTCCCTCACATCAGTCATCGGATCCCCTTCCTCCTTATTAAGTGGTCCCACTACCTGTCTCCCCTTCCTCTTGCTATTTACATGCTGATATTTCTCCTGCTCATAAATTATCCTTGTATTAAAGTGAACAGTCAAGGGACCGATTCTGCTCCTTACTGCTCACACTGTGTCAGTGAGTGGGAAAAAATCCGTGCAGGAAGAGACATTTTACTTTGAGCCAGTTCTAGATCTTGGTTCATTAATGGGGCTTGCTTGCAAGGGCTGCCTTGGTGTCAGCTGACACATTCCCCCTTATATCTGTAATTTGCTTGGTGAGGACAGAGGCTCTGAGGATGCGTACAGTTCTTTCTCACTGCAGAATCCCAACATATCTCAAAAGCCCAGTGACTTTTTCCCCATATTAATAACTGAGAGAAAGATTCATTGGAAACAATTTTGTTAGTAGACTGTGCAAACATACCATTTTGCTGGTGAGACAAGGGACAAGTTTGAAACCTCCTGGCCTCACACTTCAGATCACTGCTAGAACTCATCCCTCTCCCTCAAACCATTTTTCATATACTGCACATGCTTCAAATACCCCTGTTTTCCGGAATAAGCCATCCCTGATAAATCACTCTCCCTCTTTTGCTCCTATTTTTGTCCATTTTGGAAAATATTGCATGTTTTGTGAAACTTGCTAGATGTGCCATGCTGCAGGGCTGATGCTTTACCCCAAGGGTTTAGAATAGCCTAACCCCAACTTGGTAATTTCCAGATGTGTTGACCCACCGTTTCTTTTATTCCCAAGTAGCATGGTTTTTGCTGGGAATATTGCCTGGGAATGATAGAGTCCCAGCCCAAGACCTCTCGAAGCCACCAAGTTAGAGAAGGCTGCCTCAAAACTGAATCTCAGAAAGCAGGTGGGAGAGGCACAAGTGCTGTCAGTGTAGGCTCAGGAACCCTCAGGGACTTTGCACAGCCCTTCACTTCATGTGCTGCTGCTACTGCTGAAGTATATTTTGAACTCTTTACAACCTATTGTAGGACAATAGTATATCTTTAACTAAACCAACAAATACCCTCTGGGCTTTTTAAATATGTGGAAGGCACATGAATACAGGTGTAACCTGGGCCTGGGGGTGAGGCAACAGTCCGTGGAATGTTGGCATGCCCCTATTTTCATCTTCAAAAATATTAATCTGATCATTTTAAATCATGGACAATACATTCCTCCCCCAAGAAAAGAATTTCAGGGTGGTATACACTGAAATCACATGTGCAATATAAGAAAAATCAATTTACCACTTAAATTTCAATTGATAGGTAAAAAACTTACTCAGCTCAGAATACAAAGGCAAATTTAAAATGTTTGGGCAAATAATCTGGCACTGAATACCAATGGCACCAACTCTCTCTCTCTCCCCTCCCCGCCCCATGTGTGTGCGCGTGTGTGTGATTTATATCCCACCATTTTTCTTTGTCTTTTAAGGTGGCATCTTATACTCATTTACCTGGGATTAAATGGTTGTGTACAGAATTGCAGAGTTAATGAGCTTTCTAGACTCTCGCTTGCTCTAACATATAAATGGCAGGCTGTGGACTTCAGTGGCCCCTTAGCTGGATTCATGCACATTCATGTCAAGATGCATCTTCCCCACACTCAGGCCACAAACCTATATTAACTCACCTGGGAGTATGTCCTATTGAGCTTACTGGAACTAACTTTCAGGTAGATGTGTATAGGATTCCACTGTCAGAGAATTAACATATAGCCTAGGTGTGTCATATGCCCATTCTCTTGCATCATCAGTATAAAATCTTTGATGTGCCTTCTAATTATCTAATCCTATATAGTGAGGTTGCTAAATCTCTTCCAGGACTACAGGCAACTTCTGCTTCAGATGAGCTCTCCGGGCAGCGTTCCAGCATATTTTAGCTGACTGTTTTTACCACCAGCATTTGAACCATTTAAAAGCAGGGACAACTGCTCAAAATCTGGGAAATCACCAAGAGCCCAGTAGTCAGAGCAAAGGGATAAGGTTAGGAGGAGGGCTGCAATTGTCTGGAGTTTTACAGGGTGGTACTTGGCAAAATAGGTCAAACAGAGTGAAATCCAGTGACCCAGCATGAAAATTTATTATCATTACTGGTAGCAATGGTACCAATATTGTTATTACATTGAAGCATGCTACAGAGTAGGTGTGTGTTTACTTTTGGCAGATTTGGTCCAGTCCAATGACTTTCAACTTTGTTCCTTGTGCCATGTTTCAGACCACTCCTTTCCTTCCCTAGATAATAATTTACTCCGACCTTCTAGGAATTGTTGTAACAAACACACACTAATCTGAGCAAAGTGCAAGGACCAAGTCAAAACCAGACAGGGCGGTGCTAAAGTCCCCGTTTACCTCAGGCAGCCCACAGTGCATTAGCGGGTTTATTTTAATCCTGAATCTCTTTTTCTAAATGTTCAAAAATTTAGGTCCTGGACATAACACAACCAAAGCATGATTAGTCCCATCTATCATGTCCTTCTTCAGAAGCTCTAGGCCATAAAGACCCCTGCTGAGGAATGGCTGTACCTCTGAGGGCAGAAGAGGGGTATGGGTGGTTCTCTGATTGTTGAACTACAATCCATCAGCATCCCTGCCCTTTGGCCAAGCTAGCTGAGACTGAAGGGAGCCTGGACCTGACAACATCTGGAGGGGCCATAGGTGCCTCACCTCTGTTTTAGAGGAGTGCTAGTGTTACACATTCATTCAGAACAGCCACTATGCATTATATTGCCACCTTTCTGTCACTTACCCCTCTGGCACAAGCAAATGCCAGTTCAGTGCAGGAAGTTGTAGGGCTTTTTTCTGTCTAGAAATGCATAGGATTGCACCCCTAGTGTGCAACTATCCTGCCTGATTCACAGAAAGTCGAGATGTGGCTGGCTTCCATTTGTAACTCTCCTGTGCTTTCCCACCACTTCCTCCATCCCTTTTCTTACCACAGAGAACCCATTAAGAAGGGAAATGTGTAGTAGCTGCATAACAGTAGCG